CCGATCATCAGATATTGTCCAAGATTAACCTTCAGGGTGGATATAGCTCGCTCACACCGAGGACCTATACACGTCATCATTTACACAGAATGTTTATCAAATAAAATCTAATGTTACAACTAATCGTGGATTCCTTTAAAGGGATATTTCGGCCATTTTTGAACGGCTTTTCTGTGTACAAGTCATGGAGGGTTTACGTCTGACAGGACTGACGAGCTAATGGCTAGTCCGGTGAAAACCAGCTCGTCAGCATAGTCTGAGCGTTCACTTTCAAAATGAATCGCTGCCATCTTAAAGCAACTTCAGCGATTCATTTGAAAGGTAAAATTGGAAGTTTAACATTGCTGTAAGTTATTTGGAAGAAGCAATTTAAATCTAAAAATCACACATGACTCCACGTTGCATTTGAAGAGCTACATCTTGCTGATGCTGCCACTAACTGTGCTTTCAAACAACCATAGGATCCTACATAAGTAAATAACCGTGTGCTGAGAAAACTGCTGGTATAAAAGGTCTGTTAAACCATGTTCACATGAAAGACTGAAGCTGTTTTAGGACAGCAGCAAACTGCTTTAATCTTGCATTCAGATTAGCTGTAACTCATCAGTCCTGTCAGTATAAACACGTTTTCTACAAAAAGCTATCTTTTACACAAAAACTTTTACACAAAACTTGCAGGACTGTATTTCTTTTTATCAATATCAGAAAACTAAAATTAAATAAATACAATAAATTAAACTGCAGCTGACTGGTACATGCACATTCAGTATGTTAATTTTTAACATTTCAAGGAGCAGTGTGTAGGATTTGGGTGCATCCAGTAGCAGGCTACAAGTTCCAACCAAATATACTTAAATTAAGTATTAACAATATATTATTTATATTGTTAATACTTATTTTACAATATAATATTCTGATGATATAAATATGTTAAAGAGTCAGGTTGGCATTTGTAACAAAGCAGCAGTGTTGATGCTGCAGCATCGGGTGCATCTCCGCCCACAAATGCTACACACCACCACAGACCCGCACAAAACTGTCCATCTTACCAAGTTTTAAAATCTTATATCAGCCAAAAAGTCTTTTTGATCTTGTTCTGAGACTGATTTACTAAACAAGAACTGATTGTGTAAGAATAATAATCTTGTTTTCAGAATATGTAAGATTATTTGTCTTGTTAGTCTGAAAATTCGACTCAAATTGTCAAAAATTTCTGCCAATGGAGTAAGAAAATTTTATTTGGTAAGATTCTTGAAATAATAAAAAAAATTAGTCAAATCAAGTATTTCAAG